TTACATTTTACAGGCTACGTTTTATTGTTATTATTATTGTAAAGCTTTCCTTTTGAAAAAAAAACAAAAACAAAACAAAACAAAAACAAAAACATGTAATGTAGCAGAAGATGCGAGTGAATCAGCCTTCATCAGATATCCCGGGGCGGACGAGATAGTGGCAGGTAGTCCGCAAAACTCCGTGTACATGTCATGAACCTGTATACAATGTATGTACATTACATTTGTACATTATGCATGTTACGAAGTCATGACCAGTCTGGATTTTAGCAGCCGTGATATGACTGCAGGCTATGGATACTGCTCTAAATTGATGTATAGTTGATGTTCGGTCATGATGGAAGGAGAAGTGGAGCTACGGGAGAGATGGGCTGACTATTCGCAGGGTGAGGGACTGAGGGTGACATCGGATGGACGAGTATGATGATTACGAAGACAGTTGAACATGATAATTTTCAAAGGTAACTCAAACTAATTTGGCAATGAAATAACATACTGAAGTACAAAAGAAATCAAGTAATGAATAGAAGAAGTATTGTTTTCTCTTTTCCATGTTGATCTCTAACATGCATGGACACCTTGGTATGGAGATACTCATGTATTTTGTTGTACTTATGGCCACTTGCAACTTGCAAGTACGAAAAAGGCACAATTTCCCGAACTTTGAGGCTCCATAAGTACAACAAAGTGAATGTATATCCCCGGGTTCCAAAGCATATAGAGGATTTTACGAGCATAATGCGAGAATCCATGAAAGCATAATTCCATGATTTCGCGAGCATAATCCGCCGGAGCCCAGGTGGCAGTAACTGTTGACAGCTGACGAGCTGAGAGAAGGACGCCATGGGCAGAAGTTGGAAGAAAAGAAGTTGAGGTTTAAGTAGCTAGATGTAAATGACTACCAGGACGACATCCAGGAGCGATCAAAGAATACACGACGGACGTAAGGAGTAGTCTCCTAACCCCCTTAACATAATGAGGGTCAGAACCGGGGGCGACACCCATATGGTTCAAATGGTCCGCAGGGACCGGGGCTCTGGCAACCGCGGAAGGTTGTACATGTAGTAAGGTCACAGTGTCCTCCACCTTGTTTCATGCTGTCAATCTAACAATATGCGTGAACTATAACAAGGTTTGTGAGCGGTGTGCTATGGGTGAAGTTCCTGGCCTGTGGATGAGTCTCATCGGGAACTGTTGTAGATAATCCAGCCACCGTGTTCGTCGCCCATGGATCCCATCCATTGCCAGGCTGTTGATCCATTTGAGTGCTGCGTGTCGGTGATAAGGTCAAATGGCTGGCCGGAGAGATAGACCCTACACTTCTTGATGGCCAGGATCACTGCCAGCAGCTCACGGTCCGTGACAGGGTAGTTCCTCTCTGCCTGCGTCAATGTGTGGTGGAAGAACGCTACCGGCGCTAGATGCTTGCCGTCTCGTCGCTTTGCCAGCATTGCACCGGTACCGACGTCCGATGCATCCGTTACTAGTATGAACGGCCTCTTCATGTTCGGTAACTGCAAAACTGGTGCTGAGGCGACCTGTCGCTTTAGCGTCTCAAATGCTAAACTTGAGTTCTCACTCCATTGAAGCAGTGTGCTGCGAGGACCCTTCATCATTTCGTACAGCGGTTTTGCAATGGTCGCCATGCCTGGGATCCAGCGCTGAACGTATGAAAAGGCGCCCATAGCCTTCCGGAGCATAGTAACAGTTGTAGGCTTAGGTGTGCGGCGCAACGACTGAGTCCTGGCTTCGGAGATGCGCATTGTGCCTGCTGCTATCACGTTCCCAAGGAACTCCACCTCCCGCACACCGAAACAGCATTTGTCGGGGTTTAGCAGTACACCAGCCGACCTGAGTTTACTGAGCACCTCCCGCAACCGGCTCTTATGCTCCGTCCAGCTGCGCCCCCATACCAGCACGTCGTCTAGGTAGCATAGCGCAGCCGTCCAATTGAGTTCGCCCAGAATCGCTGTCATCAGACGCTGAAAGGTCGCCGGGGCTCCCGACAGGCCAAACGGGATGCCCTGACCAGTCCATTCATACTGGCCATCCAGCGTGACGAAGGCAGTCTTGGCCGCATCCTCACGACGCATGGGCATTTGATAGTAGCCGGGTTTCAAGTCAACCGTGGAGAAGAACTGCGCTTCAGTCAACTGATCCACCAAGTCGTCAATCAGAGGCAGTGGGTGATGCTGGGGATGACTGTCTGCGTTTAGCCTTCGGTAGTCCATTGCCAGTCTCAGTCGGCCATTCTTGCGCCGAGCGGCCACTATTGGAGCAGCCCATGGCGAAGTAGACTACCGGATCAGTCCCTGTTGAATGAGGTACTCTACTTCGTCCCGCACCTCCTTCCGTGCGTCCTGTGCCATCCTACGAGGTCTTGACCACTGTGGTGCTGTATCACTCTTGAGGTGTATTTCATGCTGGATGCCAGTTCTTGCCGTCGGTAGCTGATCGCCTCCCGCCCAGAACACATCGCCATACCCGTTGACCAGCTCCTGAATCTCCTGCTTCTTGCTGTCCTGTAGGCTTTCATCCAGCTTGTACCCCGTTATCTGCCGCCTCGGCTCATCACTCTTCCCCGCCTCCATTTTGAGTTGGTGTTCATATTGTTGAGTTTGAGTGGGGGAGTGTGGGCGGTGTGCTATACACATCTCCTACGTGACACTTGACACAATCATCATCATACTTTACACTATATGCATTAGCACCTGTATTGCTGTACTGGTATTTAGAGGGCTTCTGATTGTTGATGAAGGCAGAGTTATCCTGGACAATACAACCGTCTCAGGTTTATCTAATACTAGTTTTGAACTAGTATTGGGTTATAATATTGTGATTGTAAATCCAAATCCGTTGATCCCCGAGCTGCAGAGAGTGCTCAATGTCAGAGACAGAGCTTAGTACATGGCAGACTCAGCGGAGGACGTTCAGGTTGGTTGTTAGTTGTCTGATGATTGCCTAATGGCATGAAACTCAGAGTTACAACCAACCTGAACGTCCTCCGCTGAGTCTGCTATGTAATAATCATTGTATGTAGTACAAGTACCGGTACTAACGAAGAGAATCCGTTCGTCAGCGGACTGTGTCAATCATGCTACAGTAAAGTTCCGTTAATAAGCCCCGGGGCGTACATGTATACTTTGCAGAGCGTCAAAAACCGGGCGTATATTTGGGCATGGGCTTATTTTAGGGCATGGGCGTTATTTCGGTCGCAATCTGCAGAAGATCAATCTATCAGCAACCCACTAGTTTCAGTGAACCGCCATTCACACTGAGCGCGGTACAGGTACATCAAACCACAGCTGGAAATTTGGTCGTAACCAAGAATGTAGTGATAAATTACAGATTTGATAGGTAAACCACTTGTCCACTTTACGCCCTGGGCTTATTTCGGGCATGGGCGCTAAAACGGACTTGAAGTGTACACCGCCTAAAACTGGGCTCATTATCGGACATGGGCGTTATTTAGGGTGGGCTTATTTACGGAATTTTACGGTAGCTAATAAGTGATGGCGAATCTTTCATCAGTTCTGTAATAGAGAACTACATGACTGTAATGATAAGTCAGAGTGATAGAGTCTATCACCCCCCCCCCCTCTCTCTCTCTCTCTCTCTCTCTCTCTCTCTCTCTCTCTCTCTCTCTGATTTCATTAAAAGTTTGTCAAAGTAGCAAAGCTCAGCTGGATATCTGGACGATGACGTTCTTACGAGCACAGATACAGTCATGTACATCTACAACCCGGTATCCTTGCAGCTTGGCTCGTTGAACGAGGTCACAGCACTTGTTACACCTACCGCGCAGCAAACATTATGACAAGAACACTCGGTAGCGAGCTCGCTACAACTTAACCTTCATGCCGACTGGACTGGTCGCGAAGGTTGGAAATCTGCTTGAGTATTTTCAGTCCGGACGCCAACTGGATACGTTGCGCATTATTTTGTTGGTTTGATGCCCAGCCCTGTTCATCGATACAATCCTGTTTGTCAATCGCTATAGTAACGGGACGGGGAGAGAGGCGCACAGCAAACACCATGAACACTGTAGATCTAACTGTGATGTCCAACGTCATTGACACACAGGAGTTTCCCTATTTAAAAAAAAATTATACCTAGTTGTCTGTGTGTTGTGTACTACTAGTATTTCGTTTTTGTCGACCATGACCTGTCCCCACAAACCAATACCATGAATACCGATACCGTATTACCGTTGATCTACGAATCGGGCCGCGACTCAGCGAGACAGATTGTACTTTGTAGCCTTAGCTAGAGGAGTACTACTACTACTACTAGTACTACTAGATCAAATCGATACGCTGACGTGTGAGCTACCGGCTGCAGATTGTACAGACGAGAGATTAGGAGCAGTGCACGGTCACTGATAAAATAATTATCGCTTTCTTTCTTTGCTGGCAAACCAGCCTACATTCCTGTCACATTTGTCATGATTTGAGCTGAGCGTTGCAAGGGGCGGCTGCGGTCCACCACCAACCTGACAAGCCTCAAAACAAATCGTGAGTCTGCCCTGCACTGACCTGTACCATGTGTACTGTCTGTATACATATAGTGAGATCGTCAAAGTCGCACTCCCGTCAACATACATGTACATGACTAGACTGTGTTACTTGAACAATCCATGCCAACTGGTGAGCTTGATCGAGGCTGGGGCCGGGGTACGCTGCCTGCTGCTGCTAGGGCTGGGCTGGCGAGAGATCTGATTGGCTAAGAAACCAAGAGGAAGTCTAAGTGGAAATTAATTGCCTGAAAACGTCAGCTGATAGGAGGCCCATCGATCGGTTCAGCGAGCACTGCATCATGGACCGTCCTGCGGGTAGCTGTGTGTTGCATGTACTTTTCTAGGGGCTGCGCGCCCGCTGCTCACAATATAAACACACTCTCTGACACAGAGTTACGGTCAACTGCAGAAATCTGGCAGTCTACGCCTCGTGGTCGCCTTGCACTGTACGCACGCATGCACACTGACATGTCCGCGCGCACAATGAAAATCCACGGTGCTCACCCCGTACCCCGCGCTATCCGCTGTGACGAAGGACGCTGATTCGCTGATTTTTGGACGGGGAAGGATCAGATCTTCAGTGTACGGAGTCAGAGGACATTCGAGGACAAACTGAGCGTCGTGACACGTTTCGCAGCCTGACTGGCTGATAAGAAAAGCCGGCTGATGATGTGATATCGAGTTTGTTCTTGTGTTGATTTCGGCCTGGTGCCTGCGCTCAACAGAGCTGTGAACGAGAGTGCGAGCAACAGAGCAAACTGCGTTTTCTCTCCTGGACCTGAGCTGCAGCTGGTTACTGGCCTAGGAGGACAGTACAGTGGAGAACTAGTTCGGGCAGAGTCCGCTTGCCTGCTCTTGTGTTCAGCGCGTTAGCTCACAGCTGCCTGCTGGCGAATACAGGTAAGTGCAGTGCGCAGCCGTGTGTGAGTGTGTGGACTGTGTGTACTGTGTGGTGCAGTGCGCAGCGAGCTCGTGACAGCTCGTAAATTCTGAAGCTAGGTAGTGCAATTGCAGGAGATACCGCGGTAATCAGTACCTTTCTTGGTAATCCCATTGGATTAGCCAAGCAGGCAGCGCCCCACGGGTAGCGAATAGTCCACTTGCGAAACGGTCACAACACTTTTGTTGGCGAACTCTTCTCAATCTTATGCCTTCCGCCGTGTTTGCCGCTGGGACATCGCGACCGGCAGAGATCAGGGTCCAACACGGAATGAAGCGCATCATCGCGGATTCAGACTAAGGACCAGGTCAAGGATTCAGTAAGGCCCCGGTCACACATGCACTTTTTTTGGCGGTTCCGCCAAAGCGTAACTTACGCTTCCGCTGTTGCCTCGGCAACGGCGGAGGCGTAAGTTACGCTTTGGCGGAAAGCTTGGATTTCGCTACGCCAAAAAAATGCGAGCGGAGCCTCCGCTTTGGCGGAACCTGCATGGTGGTGGCTTTGGAGTTTGGTGTGCTACTTCTGCACTGAGTTCTGGTGTTGTTTGGTTGCCGTTTGATATTCAGTTTTCAAATTGTTCTTCTTTGCCAATGAACTGTACGTTCTGGAGATCTCGCAAACAATACTGCATCGTTATGAGTGGATAATTGGTGAGGGAATCCGTCTCCCAACTCATTGGCCCCGATCGCGGACGATCTCCAACTCTCTCCTTCTCTCTCCAAGCAATACATCCACCAGAGTATGCAACACTAGGACTGCAACCAGGGAGTAGTACTAGTAGAGTACTCTGCCACACCATCACTGCAACTGCAGGCATCCACGCAGTCGCTGGGTCGATGATGGATCATGGAGCAGGCAACGACACCCTGCTATAAAGCTATTTGAATTTGATATTGATGTAAACTAAACTAATATTCAAATACACCCGTGCTGGGCCGGAGTGAATGTGCCCCAAATCCACGAGTGTACTTGACAGGAGACATTCAGCAGCCTGTCAGCGATCCACGATAGCTCTACTTGTACAAGCGAAGGTCGCTTCAACTCGGACAAGAAGGAGGCAACGACATCCTGCTATACAACTATTTGAATTTGATATTGATGTAAACCAAACTAGTAATATTCAAATACACCTGTACTGGGCCGCAGTGAATGCGCCCCAAATCCACGAGTGTACTTGACAGGAGACATTCAGCAGCCTGGCAGCGATCCACGATAGCTCTACTTGTACAAGCGAAGCTCGCTTCAACTCGGACAAGAACATCTAAAATTTCATATAATAGGACGTGCTGCATTTGCATTCTCTCCGCCAAAGTGGAGCGTTGAGGAGCACAGTAGTCTACATGTATGTGTGACCGCTGCATCGTGTGGTCCGCCAAAGCGGCTGCGGTAGTTCCGCTTTCCGCCTCCGCAAAAGCGGTGCAAGCTTTTCATGTGTGACCGCGGCCTAAGCAGTCCTCTGTTTGAAGAGTGTCGCAGACTTCACTCGGTATAGTATTAGTGGTTGTGTGTGGGATTGCAGGATACTCCGCTTGAGAATGCGAGTTCGCCACGGGGCAGTATGTACAGGTGTGTGTGTGTGTGGTTTAGCCAGGCTGCGTCGCCTGCAAGCTGGGTCCTGCTTGCCAGTTCTCGTCTAGCGTAGGTGACTAGTGTCTTTCAAGTCTTTGAAAGTTCCTCCTGCTCTGGACAGCGCAACCTGTCTTCTGTATTCTCTTGGATGTGAGCTGTTGGCGCAGCGTTTGCTGCAGTCTACACTACATCTCAGGGCTCAAGTACAGTGTATTAGACTTGAAGCTTGCTGCCAATGCTGGCGACGCCTACTCCAAGATATTTCGCATAACCCATGGGGCATGACCCTAGTCATTATGTGGGCACCAGTGTGTACTTTTGCTTGAGATCCTCCCACTCCAGTGGCAGTGGAGCCCTATCAGTGTGTGTGTGTGTGGGGGGGGGGGGGGGGTGGTGTGTGTGTGTGTGTGTGTGTGTGTGTGTGTGTGTGTGTATTGATCATGATCTGTACGCCCACATCCCCACATCCCCTCATTGTACTGCTTGAGTGTGCTGGTGCTGATTGTGAAAACACTGATAATGTGTGTTGCCTTCCTAGATCCTGACACTGCACTGGTTATTGGTACATGGTGACTGGTGACTGGGAGAGCTAGAGACAGTCATTATACTGTCAGTACTAACCAGTGATGTCAGCAGAACACTGATGCATGCATGGTGAGACACAGGATGCATGGAGAGACCAGTGCTGGCAGTGAAAATCTAAGTCTAAGATCTTGAGCTCAGTTCCCGCATACAGCAAAACCTGTCAAGGCGACCACTTAGATAAGGCGACCACTTAGATAAGGCGACCACCTGTCCTGGAAGACCACTGCACCCAGGACCAAGGCCAGGGACCCTCTTTCCAGTCAAATGACCCTGGATAAGAAAACCACCTATAACAGAGACCACCTGGTAACAGAGACCACGCTTTGAAGGTCCCTTGAGTGGTCGTCTTAGACAGGTTTCTCTGTAGTTCCCGGATTAATAAGATTCTCTCCATTTCACTGCTGCCTGTTGGAGAGGTCTCACTTTATGAACTTTCAAGTGTTTATTTTTTAGGATTCTCAGACAAAGAGTAGAATAAGATGTCAAGTTTTGGAAGTTAGTTTGGTGGGGAAACGGTGCTGGTTTCCAGTGAGCATATTCTCAAATCATTCCCGTTTGAAGTGGTTTCCGATGTTCTCTTCCCCATGTGGACCTACAGTGAAGCCTGGTGTAAGCAGCCTCTGGGTTTAGCGACCACCTGCTCTTAACGGCAGTTTTTTCCATGTACCGACAGCTCTACACGGACACTGTGGGACCTGGTTCTAAAGCCCACCTGGCTTTAACGACCGCTTTTGCTTGCACCGTGGGGTGGTCGCTTAAACCAGGTTTCACTGTAACACAAACGTGAACACCAGTAAAACCACAGTAAACACCAGTGAAACCACAGCAAGTACCAGTAAGACCATCGCAAACCCCAGTAAAACCATCGCCAACCCCAGTAAAACCATAGCAAACACCAGTGAAAAAGGTTTTACTGCAGTACCATGACTCTTCTCCCGCTACAATCTAGCCTAGGTCTAGCAGCAGTTATGCATCAGGTGCTCCGAGCAGTGTTCGCATGCAACATCCAGCACCCTTGTGTTCCGGCTGTAGGCACGTGTCACTCGTGGAGGTGCTGAACACATTGTTGTCCCCGGCGCGGGCTTGCACATTAGATGGTTTGGAGGCAACAACGTTGTGAATGGTCAACGGTCATCAGCGTTTGTTCAGCACCTCCATGAGCGACACTGACTCGCGCTGGAAACGGAGCGTCTCTGTAAGTTTGTATCCCTGGTGATGTTTGTGCCTGGATACCACTCTATAAGTGGTGCTCTTCAGGCACAATCTTCCTCAGCCTACTCAAGCTCAACTGATAGGGGGTGAATCCCCCGAAACACTGTGTATTGAGCAGGGAGTGGTGGTTTCTTGCCAGTTTTCCGAGTCGAAGGTTCGATGGACTTCTCGTGTGCTCTGGTTGGCAGTCGTGAGTCAGTCAAGTGAGAATTCAAGTCGGCAGGTATAGCGCAAGCGCCCACGTTGGGAGCAACACACAATTCCCCAAGTATCACCGAAGTCGCACCAACCACTTCTTCGCAAAAATGATGGATCGGAGAAATTCAGACTATTACTAAAGCTTCAAGCTGTTTGTATTCATTCTTGTTTTATTCTCATCTAGGGAAGAACTGAGCATGGGGAGCAAAGGCAAGAGCATGCTGGCATCGGAGAAGGCATTCGATCATAAGATCGGTGATGAAGTGTTGGTGCGCTGGAAAGATATGCGGGTCTATTATGCCAACATACGAAAGATCGATCGTGGCAGAAAGCGCTGTGTCATTCAGTTTGAAGATCATGGTCAACGTGGAACGGTGAAGTTCGACCAGATTCACAGCGGTAAGTGATAGTGTTCGTGTGTGTGTGTATGTGCGTGTGTGTGTGTGTGTGTGTGTGTGTGTGTGTGTGTGTGTGTGTGTACAGTCAACTTCGCTTATAACGACACTCAGCAGGGCATCAGAAAAGTGTCGTTATACCCGAAGTCTCATTTTATGTGTTACAGTTGGATGGTACTTTGCTCTGGGCATGAAAATTCTGTCGTTATTCGCGAATTGTCGTTATATCCGCAGTCGTTATTAGCGAAGTTGACTGTATGTGTTTGTGTGTATGTGTGTGTGTGTGTGGTGTGTGTGCGCGCGTGTGCGTCTGTGTGTGTATGTGTGTGTGTGTTTTTGGGGGGGGGTGGGTGTGTGTGCGCGCGCGCGTGTGTGTGTGTGTAGGCATGTGTGCGTGCATGTGTGCGTGCATGTGTGCGTGTGTATGTGTGCATGTGTCTGTGTGTCCCATATGGTGCAGTGGTATGTGCAGCGATTTCCAATTGATAGGTTGCGGGTTCCATTCCCGACGATTATGGTCACACACGTCTTTATTCTCTTTATGAGACTCTTCCTGACTTTTCTTTCACTCTCCTGGTTGGTTACCAACAGCCAGTGCATGCTGGAGTATGTGGTGTGGTGTGTGCGGGAAAAAAAAAGAAAAAAAGAAAATAGAAAAAGACCAAAAATAGGGATTCACTGGCCAGAAAAAGTCACTTCAAATAGCTGTATGGTGTAGACCAGGCTGAATAGTGACGGTCAATTCTTCAGCCTTGCAAGCTGTTGAATGGTGCAATCCCAGCACAAAGTGCTATGGCGTCTGCCGTAGCATTGCTATCATCTCCTCCGGCGATGGGCGTCAAAGGTCAAGGTCAAAGGTGTGTGTATGTGTGTGTTTGCATGCTCAGTTGTGTGTCTATTTTGTTTTTCATGGCTACTAGTATTGATGTTTCGACCAAACCAGACCAGCATCGTTTCAATACTGACGTTGGCACTGCCAGTCTCAGTCCTGCTTGTAAATGAACTTCTTGAGCAGGTGATCACTATATTTGGGTGGTGGTCTTGATAGGTTGACACTACCAGAGTGATCTCCTTGTCAGGTTGACCATGTCTGCATGGTCGCATTGACAGGTTGACCACATCAGAGTGGTCTCCTGAAGAGGTTAGCTATATCAGAGTGGTCTCCTTGACAGGTTGACCATATCAGAGTGGTCTCTTTGACAGGTTGATCATATCAAAGTGGTCTCTTTGACAAGTTGACCATATCAGAGTGGTCTCTTTGACAGGTTGACCATATCAGAGAGGTCTCCTTCACAGGTTGACCATATCAGAATGGTCTCTTTGACAGGTTGACCCGATCAAAGTGGTCTCATTTACAGATTGACCATATCATAATATGACTGTTCAATTGAAATTTTCTTCGATGCAAAGAGAAGGAGGTTTGCGAATTACAACTACTTGACCATTCGGGATGTCCATTGGCAGTGTAATTCTCCCTAATTATCAACCTACATATTTCCAACTAGACAGTTGTCTAAAGTCCCTAGGCTGCTTACAGTGCTCAATGTCCACTGGACAGAGCAAGTAATACAATATTACACAGCAATGAATCAAACAAGTCTCATTCCGCTGTATTCCAACTAAACCAGTTTTTGAACAGTCCAACGTGCACAAGGTAGCACCTGACTGGCACGGAGTACTGAGAATTTCCACAGCAAGGAAGTGAGCTTGAGCACTGCTCGATAGCGCTAACCAACGGCCTTCCAACTAGGAAGGCTCATGGATATTAGTGATAATTCCAAAGAGGGGAAGGTGAGTACCACCAAGCCGAACACAAGCTACATTCCAAGCAATGCTGGCTTGGTACGATAACGGGATCTTAAGACCATTAGTCATAAACCAAGTATAGCACTGTAGGATATCGGCATTCGGTTTGTTACAATTCGTCCTCGCGAAGCTTCCCTTTCACTTCTTATCCTTGATAAATTGAGCCTCCCAAGTTGGGTGGTTGTTGCGTTGCGTTGTGGAATTGTGGTTAGACCGTATTGTCATTTGGTCTTACCGTCCCGTTATCGTACCAAGCCAGCATTCCACTGTGCCTTGGAATGTAGCTTGTGTTTGGCTTGGTGGCGCTTGCCTTCCTCTCTTTGGAATTATCACTAATATCCATGATCCTTCCCAGCTGGAAGGCCGTTGGTTAGCGCTATCGAGCAGTACTCAAGCTCACGTCCTTGCCGTGGAATGTCCCACTACTCCTTGTCAGTCTGGTGCTACCTTATGCACGTCTGACTGTTAAAAACCTGGTTTAGTTGGTGGACTATAACGCATAACTTTTGCCCTACCATTTTCCTCGCTTCAATAAATAGAGAGCTTCCAGGCTGTCCACTGGAGTGCTCCATGTCGAAAGGCAGAGCTGGTTCCGAAAAGAATAGGACGATGAAAGGGTGCTTTCTGATGATCGCTTGGTGGGTCAAACTCGGAGTACAAAACACTTTTTTCATTCTCATATTTTTCTTGGTATTTCCCTCAACCTTACAAATCCTTTACGCATTCGGGTGCCATGGTTCGAGTTCCGGAGTTGAAAGGGAAGTGTTTTTGGTTCTGACGATTTTGACTGGCCCGAAACGTATCTCGTATCAGATAGTACCAATTCTTCTCCCCGTGGCACATGTTCAAATTGTCCACAAGACTTTCTCTTTGCCTTTTTGTATTGGTCGATCATCCAAGAATCTCAAGATAGAGTCGACCGAGGCGATGGCTCACAGTGAGCTGGTGCATGACGTATCTCCGTCGCCTCACAGCACAAAGCGCCTGACATCACGTTCTGGAGTACGGTTCTAAGCACAAATAGCCAGCTTAAGTCCGCTTCCCTGCCAACTTCTTACACGACAGTCTCCTCCACGCGTTATTATTTGTTTCTTAGCCACCTCGGGAGTCCACTTGAGATGGAGGCCACCGCAAAGGCTAGTGCGTAGATGAGCCAGTCTGATGTCTCCCTTGGTCGCAGTATCTTGTGCCTGTTTCTTGTACATCTCCATGTTGCGCTGGGTACTCAGAGCGCTGACCTAGAGATTAGGAAACTACAACTTCAGCTTGGCGAGCGATCCCCGAGGCAATCTATCTCGGTCCTTTGTAAGGGCCATGTAGTCTGGAACTATGCGCCATCCATCCGGGGTTTTGATTTCAGCTCCTCATTTACGTGGCATTGCTTGTTTCACTTGCCTGGCTCAAGTCACACCACACAGCAGATATCTTTCTGCCTTTTCCTATACCGGTGGTGGCTTCCTTGCTGGCGCTCTTGTGCTGTTGTTAGTCGATCTAGCCATGATTGCAACCGAAAGAAAGATGGAATTGATTCAGAGTAAACGTGTATTTTCTTATGCGTCACACTTGTCTTTGCCTGTAGAGTGTGACAAGATATTCCATTTTGATGGGTCGTGGTGTCAAGCAGACCGCCCAATGCTCGTTCTCGAAAATCCGCACAAAATCTAGCTAGACCTTTCCAGTAGGAGTAAACTAACTTAACAAACCAAAGGCATCAGGAAATGGGCTGCCAAGTGAGCAGATAGCTTCCTATGGCCGTGTATATTATACACTGATGTAGAGTAAAACCTGTAACTAAAGACCACCGTGACTAGCGACCAGCCTGGTACTACAGTAAAACCTGTAACTAAAGACCACCGTGACTAGGGACCAGCCTGGTACTACAGTAAAACCTGTAACTAAAGACCACCATAACTAGCGACCAGCCTGGTACTACAGTAAAACCTGTAACTAAAGACCACCGTGACTAGCAACCAGCCTGGTACTACAGTAAAACCTGTAACTAAAGACCACCGTGACTAGCGACCAGCCTGGTACTACAGTAAAACCTGTAACTAAAGACCACCATGACTAGCGACCAGCCTGGTACTACAGTAAAACCTGTAACTAAAGACCACCGTGACTAGCGACCAGCCTGGTACTACAGTAAAACCTGTAACTAAAGACCACCGTGACTAGCGACCAGCCTGGTACTACAGTAAAACCTGTAGCTAAAGACCACCGTGACTAGCGACCAGCCTGGTACTACAGTAAAACCTGTAACTAAAGACCACCGCGACTAGGGACCAGCCTGGTACTACAGTAAAACCTGTAACTAAAGACCACCGTGACTAGCAACCAGCCTGGTACTACAGTAAAACCTGTAACTAAAGACCACCATGACTAGCGACCAGCCTGGTACTACAGTAAAACCTGTAACTAAAGACCACCGTGACTAGCAACCAGCCTGGTACTACAGTAAAACCTGTAACTAAAGACCACCGTGACTAGCAACCAGCCTGGTACTACAGTAAAACCTGTAACTAAAGACAACCGTGACTAGCGACCAGCCTGGTACTACAGTAAAACCTGTAACTAAAGACCACCGTGACTAGCGACCAGCCTGGTACTACAGTAAAACCTGTAACTAAAGACCACCCTGACTAGGGACCAGCCTGCTACTACAGTAAAACCTGTAACTAAAGACCACCGTGACTAGCGACCAGCCTGGTACTGCAGTAAAACCTGTAACTAAAGACCACCGTGACTAGCGACCAGCCTGGTACTACAGTAAAACCTGTAACTAAAGACCACCGTGACTAGCGACCAGCCTGCTACTACAGTAAAACCTGTAACTAAAGACCACCGTGACTAGGGACCAGCCTGGTACTACAGTAAAACCTGTAACTAAAGACCACCGTGACTAGCAACCAGCCTGGTACTACAGTAAAACCTGTAACTAAAGACCACCGTGACTAGCAACCAGCCTGGTACTACAGTAAAACCTGTAACTAAAGACCACCGTGACTAGCGACCAGCCTGGTACTACAGTAAAACCTGTAACTAAAGACCACCGTGACTAGCAACCAGCCTGGTACTACAGTAAAACCTGTAACTAAAGACCACCGTGACTAGCAACCAGCCTGCTACTACAGACCACTTGGCCACGCACGGACGGTCTCACAATCATAATATGGTTGTACCATGCAAACCTCTAACTAAGGACCACCTGCCATTAAAGACCGCTTTCTCTGGCCCCAAGCCGGCGTGGTTGTTAGTCACAGGTTTTACTGTATGTGCACAAAGGAGGTTTTCCAGAGTGACTTGAAGTCGCCTGGTGGTTGCATAGTGCAAGAAACTCGCTGTTGTGACGAACCCTGTAAAACCTCCTTTGTGCCTGCCTGTGTGTAATAGTGCTCCACAGTAATGTGTGGATCACTCTCCACTGGCTAAACACACGACTTTTCTTCTTTACTGTAAAAGCCATTATCCTAACGAGGCACATATATAACGATTTCCCAAAATTGACTAGTTTACGTGTACCAAAAGTAACGATTCTCACTCATTCTCAACGCTCAATAGGACAGTATATGTGTCGATTTCTGTACAACGATTTCTATTTTAACGACAGATTTCTCCTCGTTTAACTCGTTAGAGTTAGCACTTCGTTATATATATATGGCTTTTACAGTAGTTGTATGTGCATGTACATGTACCGCATTTTCTGGATTTTAACCAGTACTTGGAACACTCAAATTTCACCCACCCCCCCCCCCCCCCCCCCCCCCCCCCGCCGCCGAAAAGCGGGGTGCAGCTTATACTCCAATGATCAAGTTAAAGGGGAAGTGCATCGATTTTTCGAGTAGGGTCCAGAAGAAAGACAATTTGATATCGGTTCGAATGGCATATCTCTCGCTTCCATACGATAAGCCAAACTTGCCAAATCGCCAATTGTATGCTCACGTTGCCATAGCGACCAGAGCAGTGATGACGTATGAAAGGCTTAGCTCCTCCACAGAGAAGGTCGATCACTGCAGAAATTGGTCATTTTTCAATTGTCTTATTGTATTCACGATGTGAAAGAAGTGCTGTGTTCAATGCTGTTAGTGTCGTGAACTATTTATCGCCCTTCTCATGCATTTCCCTAGGCTGACTGCGCCTAGGAAATGGTTTCCTCCAGGACAAGATGCTTGGAATTCGCCATCTCTCCTGAGACATTTTCCGCAAACTTTCAAACCTACGACATTATTTCATTCGTCAATCTCCACCACCCGTCGTCCCACCTGGCTTCAGAAGATGTTACGAGAGATAGCAGAGTCGCCAGGAAGCATCACATTCATCTTCAGGAAGTGGAAAGAGCAAACGGCATGGTCCTTGGTTGGGGGAAATGCTGAACGTCTGATTTGTCCCAACCAAGATTTCAGCATTTTGTTCGTCACTATTTTCGCTCTGCTGGTGTCTCCGCACTCCAGCTTTCTCCTGTCGGTGTCACGTCCCAGTACACAACCGAGAGGACTACTAACAAACAGTTCACTGCACTAACAGCATTGAACACAGCACTTCTTTCACTTCGTGAATACAATAAACCAATTGAAAATGACCAAATTCTGCAGTGATCGACCTTCGCTGTGGTGGAGCTAAGCCTTTCGTACGTCATCACTGCGCTGGTCGCTATGGCAACGTGAGCATACAATTGGCGATTTGGCAAGTTTGGCTTATCGTATGGAAGCGAGAGATATGCCATTCGAACCGACATCAAATTGTCTTTCTTCTGGACCATACTCGAAAAATCGATGCACTTCCCCTTTAATGGTGATCAATAGGGTCTAGGTCTGTATTTCTTGGCATAAAATGAGGGGTGCGGCTTATACCCCGGAAAACACGGAAGTATCCTGTTACCTTTTTTGTGTTTCCGCCAGTGGTTTTATTACACTTGTATCATGATTTTATGTGGCATTTCTAACACCTTCTCTATTACTTCACTTCAGTTTCATTGGTTGGTATCCTTCAGTTCCGTATTCTCCCCACTGATGATTGGAACGGGAAAATCGATTCTGGATTTCAATATTATTTTTTAAATACACATGCATGTACATGTCGAACCAGAAACGTACTGTTGCGGACATGGAAATCCGGTCGCACGTCTAGCGGCCCCAGGGCGCTGGCCATGCAGCCGTGGCCAAGCGACATGTACACACATGCATTTTAACATGCGCTGCAGCCCGCTGGTCGCATCGGATCAACATGTGCACTGCAGGAAGCGTTCTGTACGCGCTGAGGGCGCCGGCCCCGGTCAATCGACTGGATTTCCATGTCCGCCACAGTAGTTGTGTAATGTCTGCGGCATTCATCTTATTCATAGCTCTATCAAAACACGGCAGTTGCTTCTGTACATGTCAACTCTGTGTCATTGCTCCCCCCAAGAAATTGGATGTTGAGCACTTTTTCTGCAGCTGCAGGCATAGTCTTACTGAGCAGTTGTTTCTGTATATTGTTTGTTCTGTAGATGCTCCTCTGTTTTTTATGCTGGATGACGAAAAATATACCAGCATTTAAAAAACAATGCCCTCTCTTGAATAGTGCCCCATCTGTGATGGACATTGACAGATTAGTGTCCCAGGGGTGCTAGTCGCGCAAGTAAGGTATGCATGATTGTGCTTGTGTATGCTGTTTGTTCAGTTGATGCGCCCATACCAGACGACATCTGGCTGGCGTGTGTGATCTGCAAGTTTGGTCATTCCAACCGGCCCAACGAGATTGTGCTGTGCGACAAATGCAGTGTGGGTAAGTGAAGAGCTTCATTGCAAAACGCATTTCATCACTCACACGAAAGCCAGTCGACTCAGCTTCCCAAAGACCACAACATATGGGCGAAGTCAATCCTCAGATTGTGCTGCGCCATCTGAAAACTTCCAGAATGTGGACGTGATCATTAGCCTGATAATCTTAGTAATACGTGAAACCAAGAGTCCATAACCCCCAGAGTGTGCAACGCCACATAAATGTCTGTCACGACTCGTTTTCAACATTACGTCATTTTCATGTAGCTTCGCGTGCAGGCCGCGACATTCGCTACATGAAAATGTACATGAAAATGACGCAATGTTGAAAACGAGTCAAGACAAGACCCTATCGCGCGTTGCACACTCTGGGCGTTATGGACTCTTGGTGAAACTCAGAGTTGCGACACAGCTTCCGATCTCTCTTGTGTGAAGTACTCATTATCTTTGCAATCTGAAAATTCTCAGAATGCGGAAGTACTCATTATCTTTGCAATCTGAAAATTCTTAGAATGCGGAAGTA